AAGCCAAGAGTAACAAGTAACGTTTGTTTTGAAAATTTAAGGAATAGAAAGTACAGATACTTGTGTCAAAATGTCGTGAGTAGAAGTCAGAAGTAGGAAGAAAAATAAGCAATGGAGTAAAGTATAGATACCCAAAAAGTGTACTTAAGTACAGTAACGAAGTATTTGTCCTTCGTTACTTGACACCTCTGTGGATCAGTGAGTCAATGTCTCACTCATTCTTAGCGTACAACTTGACGTCATCCATGTAGAGGAGGTGACTGATGGTGGCCCCTTTCCTGAGTTAGTATCCGTAGCCAGTCTTGTTGATTATTTGGCTGAAGGGGTTCAGGCCTATGCAGAACAGCAGTGGGGACAGTGCATCTCCTTGGTATATGCCACATTGGATGGAGACTTGTGCAACTATCTTGCCATTGGCAAATGGTGTTTCTCCACAACCTCATTGAGTTTGCAATGAAGGCTCTTGAAGTCCTGTTGATGTTGTATAGCTCCAAGCATTTAATGATCCAATTATGTGGCATTGAGTCGTAGGCTTTCTTGTAATCAATCCAGGCAGTGCTTAGGTTAGTGTTTCAGGTTCTACAGTCTTGAGCGACTGTTCTGTCTACCAGGAGCTGATGTTTGGCACCTCTGGTATTTTTGCCAATTCCCTTCTGAGCTGTGCTCATGTATGGATCCATGTGCCCGCTTATCTTAGCCGCTATGATGCCGGACATGAGCTTCCACGTTGTGGAGAGGCAGGTTATGGGCCAATACTTGATTGGAACTGTACCCTTTGAGGGGTCCCTCAGGATCAGGATTGTGCACCCTTTGGTTATCCATTCAAGGTCATTCCCATCTCTCAGCAGCTGGTTAATTTGTGTTGCCAAGTGTACGTATCATATTGGGGCCTGGTGCTGTCCAGTTTTTCATGCCTCAGACTCTTTCTTGGATGTCTGCCACTGTGATGTTGACTGGATTCTGTTCAGGGAGGCTGCTGTGGTCCTCTTTCAGAACTACCGGCCACTGTTCCTCCGTGTTGTGTGCTGCCTATATACAGTATATTCTCTTGATGACTATGCTGGGAAACGGCTTCTTGTTGTGGTGAGAACAGACACAGTTCTAGCTTAGACTATCCAGGAACCAGGTTATCCAGCGAAAGCTGCTCCAGCTCACCATACTCTGTTGAAAGTGGACTTATTAAAATGAGACCTGAATAAATGGTTGAGGTGCAAGTAAAAAGCTTTAACACCCCGAGACCCAGATGTTTGCAGTGCCTTATAGACATTCAGAAGTATGAAATAAAAATGTCCCTATTAACCTACAGCAAGGATTTCTACATTGATGTTGCTTTTAATATGAAAGCTGGCCAAAAACAAACAAAAAACAGACTGCAAAGGTGAAAAGAAGGAAGGACACAAGTAAAGAAAGAAAAGAAGGCTGGAAGAAATTATTTATGTTGTGGGGATAGAATGGAAGACATTAAGTTCAAAGGACACAAGCAAGGAAACAAGGTCACAAGAAGGAACATGAGGATAAGACAAGAAACAGGAAGTACAAAAAATGACAGGCTTAACACAAGGATTAGATTGAACGGAGGAAAGGAAAAGGGCAGCATAAGAAATGAAGGAAAGGTTGACAGAAAATACTAATTAAAATGAGGGATAAGGGAATGCATGGTAAAAGAAAGGGATTGTGAGAAGGAAATAGCATGAGGAAAAGAAGGAAAGAATTAAAAACAGAAAAGAAAGACGTTAAGAAAGAAATAACATCAAGAGGGGAATAATAGAGAAGACAGGAACAAATACAGGAAAGACAAAGATACAGACACAAGAAAGCAAAGAAGTACGCAAGGAAAAAACAAACTGAAAAAGGAAGGCATGAAGGATCCAAAAACAGAAACAGCCAAATTATAGTCAGCGAGGACTTATTAAAGGAAAGGTGGATTTGTGCAACTTTTCAACATCTGGGTACAATGTCTATTTGTCCAAAATCTAATTTTCTTATTAATCAAGACCCCAAATATCTAAATCAAATGACATATTTACCCAGTTTTTGTTGGAACCCTGATAGTTAATTAACAATCTGAACGTTGTTTAATACTGATAGCAGATCATGACCGTCCATGCACAGCTGCTTCCTCCAAAGCATACTCCTGCATATTGAGCCACAACAACTGAAGGGAGCACTCCGTCTGAGGCAGCTGCTCTGTGATTGTACAGCCGTATTTGATTATCTGTGGGAGCCTACATTGGTCAGACCACCCAATCTCTCTGAGATTTCCCACATTAGAAGAACTGGAGAAGTAATTACATCGAACTCATGCACATTCTGAAGTATCATTAGAATAGCTTGATGGAAGCAGCAAAATTCTAAACAATTTACTAAAGTTCACAAAAAAGTTTCTACACTCACTTGAGGTGGTTTCTGACTTAAATAAAAAGTAGATGCAGATAAGAGGGGATAGAAACTAATTTGTCTAAAAAGTTCCCATGAAGCAAATACTAACCTCACATGAATGGTCAACTGTTTCTGCTGCCAGCGTCCCATTAGAATCGTATTTATCTCTCGACGTCTCCAGATGGCATCTCACATCACTTATACGCGACATAATACATGATAAAGTAGCAAAATGTTGGTCTATTAGTGCGTTTTTTTCCGTGATAGCTTGCTACCTCCATTTCCTGTATATTACAGCCAAGTGTAATGTAAACATATGGAGACATTGTGGCTGGTTATTTTGCTCCAGTGGATGGAAACTTCTCTAATTCATCTTTTCTCTTTTTTACATTTTAAAAGTTTGCTCAAAATTTGCTTGAAATTTGAATGGAATCACGACTAAGGCTGGGAGATTGCTTTTGTTGCTAACTAGTTATTGTCATAAGCCATTTTTCACCACTAAGACAATATGGACTAACACAGAGCTTATGGAAAGCAAATCTTTCCATAAGATGCTGGTTTGTTAGGTTTCCAAACTGCTGCTACTTGTTGGATGACTTGCCAGTGATAATGAATGGAAACTCCTCACTAATCTTTAGCACACTGCTTCACACACTGTCTTGTAAATAGTGTTGTTAGAGTGGCTCAGGTTATCCTGAGCGATCTGCTATAGGCTTAGACTGCTGGAGGACATAGGGACCCCTTTTCATCATTCTGCTTCATTCTATCTCTATTTCCCCATTCTTCAGAATTTGTTAGTTAAATCTCTAACATTATGTTCTCTGTACTTTTTCCTCATAGTAGCTTCATCTGGCTTGTTTCTGTTTGGCTGTGACACCATCCTGGTGAGAAATATCAGCTGTGCTGCTGCCATCAACGCCTTGAATGTTGGAGCTTGGCCTGTTTTTCAGTCTGGTTCTGTTTCTCTGACTGTGATTAACTGCATGTGATTTATTTCATCCTTACATGGGATCAGGCTCAGAGCTTGTCTGCAGGCTGTGTGTTTCCTGGACGGGTCTGCCTGTGGAGCTGATTAACAGTTCTCTATTGTATCTCTGCTTTTGTTTGTCCGCTTCTGTCTCCTTGAAACCCAGTCAGCCTCGTCAGATGCCCGCTCTAACTGAGCCTGGTTCTGCTGGAGGTTCCTTTCTGTTTAAAGTGAGTTTTCCTCTTTACTGTCACTACAAGCATGCTTGGTGTGAGGAATTGCTGAAGAGTCAATGAGTCGATGCAATCAACTGGTTTTCCTTAGAAAACTTTGAACCAATTTGACTGTATGATCTGGTTAAATTGTCTCTGTAAAGGGCCTTGAGATGATGTGTGTTGTGAACTGCTGCTATATAAATATACTAAATTAAATTGAAATGGTGCAGATCCACTTGTAGGTTGTCTCTACTGCAGCTGCTTTCCATCATCATTGTGTTGCAGCCAACACACAGGTTCTCACGGTGCCTCTCCGCCTCCAATCAACAGCACAAAACCCTTTCAAGACATCTTTATTTGCACATCTTATCAATTTGTCTTAATATACAGCTAGGATTTCACATTTCATTTCTCAGTGACCCGTCCCTTCAAATAACATAACCCCCCCCCATGTATGTACAAGTTTTGAAAATGATCATGGCAATAATTAAGTTATTCACTCATGCTAAAATGCTATTTAATGCATAGTTTGGGCCAAAGGGCTCGTGTCTCAGCCCTTTTTGTGAGGAAGTTTCTTCTTCTGGATGCACAACTGTAGCCCTCACAGCTGTCTGTGTGTTTGTGTTATAAACAGAGAGGCCCACGGGTGTTGGAGAGAGAGAAAGAGTCATGATTATTAAGATTGAGTGGATATGGTTGATTGGCAATGATGTCGTTTCAATACATAGACAACCCCCCTCCCCCCACTCCAGGATGCAGTAAACAAACTTGACTTCAGTCCATCTAATTATATTTTTCATGCCATTTAAATAGTTCTCACCTTTTCTACAATCTCACATTCGTTTAGATCCGTTAAAGCCTACATATACGACATATATGACGAGTATTGGTGAAAACAGCTCTTCCTGAGAAAGATGTGTGATTCTGAACAATTTCAGTTCTACTCATACAAACAAACAAAAAGGCAAGAAAGTCACAGAATAGTTTCCCTTTTCTTGGTTTCACAGAGCCTCTTGAAAAGCAAAATAATGTTTTTTGGTCACCAATGGCGTCTTCTGTGTGCTCCCAACCTTAAAAAGCTTTGCAGAAATGGGGGCTCAGTTTTGCACCAAACCCAGATCCAAAGTTTCTAATTGTTGGGGGTGGGCGGTGTCACAGATTGTGCTCTGGTTATCACTGTGCACATGCTCATCAGTGGAAAGCCCTTAAAACAGTAATGCTGCAGCCACGTTCTACAAAAACCTTATGACCTACTGAGCAGTAGTAACAACTTTGTGCTCGATTTTCATTGTGGCGCCGGTCCCCTGTTTTTTAACAAGTAAAAAGTACCAGTATTAGTTCAATCTCTGTTTCTGTGTGGAGCCAGTGCTACATCGCTGCCGTCTGAGCTCAAACTAGCCCCTTGCTCCTCGTTGCGCTTCAGCGGCGATCACACAGATCCCGTGAACATCTCTGGAGCATCCTCGTTAGTTAACCTCCCGTTTCACTGAGTTTTCTCCCGTGTCCACTTGATCATTGTCTCCGGCGATCGGTAGAGGAAGATGAGTTTGGCATACATGTCTTCTTCTAGGTCCAGCTCCCCTGTCTCTCGGACCAGGAAGATGTCGGTGCACAGCTTGAGGATGCGGTCCACGTTGGGCAGCTCCTCGAACATGATGGTGTGGGAGATGCCACTGAAGAACTCGCGCACAAACTTGCCGATGACCAGAACAACGGAGGCGTACAGACCCATGATTCTAGAGAAGCATGAGGAGAAAGAAAAGACAAAAAGGTTCCTAAGTTAAGTCTGTTGTCATGCAGCTGTCTTCAAAATTCAGTCATAGAGCATGTGTTGGTATATTTTAGCACCTTAAACCAATCAAGCCTTACTAATACTGAGACAAACATAGAAATCAAGAAATCAGAAGATTTTACATTCCAGGAAATCTCTTTCTAGGAAGTCAAACAGTCCGACTTCCTAGTTCCAACGTTACTTTTCTAATATTACTTGAGGCAGTACTGCCAAACACCTGAATAGGAACCCGTTGATCTATTGGCACATACCCGTATCCTGCCAGAAAACCCAGACTAGGCGGGCTGACTTGGTCACTAAACACATAGATGTGCAGGCCTGCTTCCTGTTTTTCACCCTCTATCATTATAGGTCCGGGTTTAAGCTCGTCCACAATCCACCATTCCTGTATCTGATCAGATGATTCCTGGGCCCGCTTCAGACTAAGGGAAACGTCAAACATGTTGTCATCACCTGTAGGAATAAGGAAAAATATTTAATATGTAGAAATAAAACTGAAATACTGACATCCATCCATTGATTCAGACAGAAATCCAATAAATTAAAACATATTTAACTTGGAAATAAACATTCACTGACAATTTCAGAATAAACTCGGGGAGCATTAAGTTAAAGTTTGGATATTTCTTGATTACGTTTTTTTTTTATGGGTAACCTGATAAAATAAGATTGATTTTTGTTCAAATGCTGCTCACCAAGCTGTTCGACAGGAGTGGCATCTGAGTCACTGGGGGCTCGAATGTAGCGCGGAATCAACTTTGGGATAGTCCTGCAGAAAAAGGCTCACCATTAACCATCATTTTGTTGGAGTAAAAAAGGCAATTATCTTTTTTGATGCTTTATGGTCATTTTTTGACATTTTAATGTCAAATAGCCAAAACAGATAAGAGGAGGTTTCCCACCTGCCAGGAAATAGATTTACTTACACTTTTAAGTTGCCTTCTGTCCCATTGAGAAGTGTAATGAGCTCATGCCTTGTGTCGTTTCCTAGAGTTAACACGTTTTTCCCAGATGCTGTCTCAGCTTTGGCACCAAGACTCAGGTTTCTGTCAACAGGGGACGAGAGTAAAAAGCAATGTCTTTATGTGACTCTATGAATATGATGAAACATCTGAGAGGAGTCTGGGGAAAAAAAGCAAAAAAAGATGCAAAATTTATCCAAAAAACAACAACAAAATAAAGTTGATGATATAAATCATGTACATAGAGCATGAATTGGTATTTTGGAAGATTTGTTTCAAGTTATCGTAGAGATATTATGGACAAAGGATTAAAATATGCAGGATGTTTGCTTTAACCTGAAGGTCATGTAATATAAGGCCCTGTCGCATTTCTATCACTTGCATTCATTTTGGGTCCTTGCCCTCGGCAGTGCTTGTTCAGGTGTAAGGTTAGTGTGTCCCAATAAGTTTAAGAACTAGGGGTAAGTGCCCTTGAACCCTCAAAATATTCCCTTCAGGCCAAGGGTGGTCAAAAGCTGACTTGAAAAGGCTTCCCAGAACTCATTTAGAGAAAAGAAAAATGCCGTGTGGCCGTGGAAAAGAACTGCATAAATTTAAGTACATTTTTTACAATGTGTTTAAAAAAAATACTCATGACGTAGGTGAACACGTCACTGAAGTGTACAGGCAATGTATTACCGCTATCTACTGGGCTGTTTAGCAACTTGTAGTGTCCCATTTCTTAGGGAGAAAATCTTGACTTGCACTTCCCTCATTGAGTGGACTTCGCTGTGGAGGGAACTCACTGGAGTGTTCTCAGATTCAAGTAAGAGAAATGAGACTGGGCCTTGAAAGCTGAATGATCTTTATTTTCTACACATATAGAACATAAAAACAAAGAAGCTTAGATTCAAACTAAGAATCACGGGCATTCTGGTTCTAAGACAGAATAGAGTCAGTTTTACCGGATTGGGCGGATTACCGCCCAGTTGGGCTGTTTCCATTTTGATTTTGAGGGTAAAAATTGCTTTGGGCGGAGGGAAATTTTTTGGGCTTGAGTTAACCTATTAAAACACCAGTCCACAGCTCATTCATTATTACTGGTTCATAGCAAAGTCTACCTCACCTTTCTCCATCACTGATTAGCTAATGTCATCTGCCAGGGTGTTTACAACAGAGAACTAGTGTAGTATGCTAGTTTGAGCAGCAGGTGAATCTGGTGTGATAAACCTGCCGCTGATGATCGATGCATTGTGATTGGAAGAGAAATCTTTTTAAGATGCTGGAGGAAACCACTGCTTTCGGGATTTAGTGCTTGGTGCAATTAAACTCCTTACCCTTCCTATATCAAATGCGTCATTTGAAAGAGCTTTTTAACAAGTTGCTCTGCTTAAAGATGACTCCAGAAACCGCATGGGCCTGCCGATCCTGTCAAGTTTGATGGATGTGTGAACTGAACTAACACGGAATGCTTGGACATCAGCAACATTTTGTCCATCCCGACAGTTATTAAGGAGATTTAATTCAACCATGTACTGATCAAAAATCACGTTTTATCATGCAAAAATACCAGGATCATAGCATTCTGGTTTCTGGCATTCTGTTTTTTGTTTTCTCTCTGGAAGAATATAACCCACATTGTACTTTAATTTTTGTTAAATCGCTTGAAAAGCATTATTTTTTTAATCTTCATAACCATTCTTTAGCCAATTGAAAGCTGCCAATGTGCAAAAATATAAAGTTCTAAAACATCTTATTTTTCTTTTCTTATAAACCAGAAACATCATCACATCTACTCAGCCAAATAGAGCTGATTAGTATTCAATGTTTCCAGATGTTTAGTCCTTCTAATTCATCACTGAATTAATTAATAACTAACACCATGTATTCTATCATTGAAACTCTAGTTGTAGTTAAAACTCCAAAAACAAGAAAGCTTTTCAAATTCTTTGATATTTTAGATCATATAAAGTAACCGCATCACTACTTTCACTGAGCTTTTTTGAGAGGTAACTAGTAACTATACCTAGTTACTAGTAAAGTTCCCAACTCTATGATAAAAGAAGTCAAAATCAAAGTAAAGCTTAATAAAACTGTATTCAGGTTATTTGGATCTGTTACATGTATTCACATAGTACCTTTGCACAGACCAGGCGACGGTGATTTGGAAAGCTTTATCATTTGCTCCCAACATGTCTATCAGGTTTTGTCTGCTGGGTGGGCTGATGGTCCACAGAGAGTTGGAGCTGCCCTTGAGCTGCGCGATGACCAGATCGTCTTTAATATAGGTCTCCAGCCACTCTAACGCCATCTGACCAGAGCACAATATGAAAACAGCTTTAAGTGAAGGACCAAGTTAGAATAAAACATTGCTTTATTGTGTTTAAAATTGTACATTAGATTTGGAGTCATGGTCTCTTGCTATCAGTCTCTGAAATTCAGTAAATCCTGTGTCGTTCGCAGTGTGGAGCTGTTGCTGTTGAGCACTCATGGTGAAGATGGGCTGCGAAAATAAAAAGTTAAATTATACACCAGCTTTGGAAAAATCTGCAGCTTCAATAGCAGAAGTTGAAGTAATGGCACAGAAATATGTTCACATGCACAGCACAATCCAGATAAATGTCTGTAAACTGCCTGAAATAACTTGTCTTTTATTGTATAGAAATATTAGAATTTCTGATCTTTATTTAATTTTAATTATTTAATATGTGCAGAAGGCCGTTTACACTTAGCCTGGTTCTGCTGGATGTTTTTCCTGTTAAAAGTGTCTTCTTTCTTTCCACTGTTGCTACATGCATACTTGATATGGACGACTGCTGCAAAGTCAATAACACAACGCAAGCAAGCGTCCACTGTAGCTAGCAGATTACCAGGAGGAGTAAATAGTTTGGATCAATGACTCTATGCAATCTGTCCTTGGAAAAAGTTTTAATCAATCTGTCTTTATTATTAGACTAAACTGCTGTCACGTTTCCAGAGCTGTGGGAGTGGCTGTGTGTCTTTTCCCTTTTCTCTAACATGCTGGCAGGCTAATTGAGTCCAGCTGGGTTCCTCAATTACCTCAATCAGTGGTGGCCTTTAAGAAGGAGCAGTCTCCCTCAAGCAGACAGTTATTGTATTCAGAGTGGTAACGAGCCAACTTAGAGAAATTTCAGCGTTGAGTTTTTTTTACCCTCCTGTTGGTTCTTCTCTCTCTAAAACCTGATTGTACTTCTCTGCTTCAGGATCCACTTTGGAAAAGACTCCTGTCAGCAGTGTTGGGAAAGTTCTCTTTCTACGTGAACTAGTTCAAAGTTCAGTTCACACATTTTAAAATGAACTAAATTCAAAATTTTGAACTAAGTTCACAGTTCCAAAAAATGAACTAGTTCATAGTTCTTTTTTTTTTCATATATTGCTCAATTACACCATAGCCTAGTGTAGAACCACAGACAGCAATTATTTTATCAGTTGTAACACTGAAACTGTGCGTCAGATTTCATCTTCATTTCCAGTTTTGAATCCTTATCCAACCAGGATTTCCATTAGCAATGAGGGGACATCATTTCCCAATTGTTGCTTTAACGCTTTGTTGCTGTCCATTCACTTCACACTAGTAGCAGCTGCAGCTTTCACCCCTACAGTATATTCTCAAAAACATCAGGAAAAATGTGCTGCTTGAATGGTCTTTTTTATGAGGAATTATTAAAAGAAGAAAGTAGTCTTTAAGGAGCAAATGTTTTTTTTAATTTTGATATTTTTTTCCATTTGAAATTTAATTTCAATACATGCTAAAAAGGAATCCTGGAAAATTATACCAGGCAGGTTTAAGTGCGGATTTTTTTACTGAAAGCCGGCGGGCAAAGTTTGCAGAGAAATGTAAGATTGTTGCCATCATCCTCACCGACCACCTGGTCATAAACCTGTTTTAAGTGATCATACTGCTGCTTTGTCGCCTCCACGGTCGCCTCCATGCTGCTGTGGCTTCCACGCTGCATTTTGTTTTGATGACGCACGCGGCTGTAGGCTACGACACTGGTAGCTGGTGTTGCCAGATTGGGTGTTTTTCCCGCTACATATTAAGGCTTGTTTACGGTGTGATCTAGCCGGGGTTTCGCCTGGAGGGCTCTATAGAAATCTGGCAACCTATTGAACGGAGTTGAACTGAGAGAGCGTGCCGTTCACAGACACCAGAATGAACGAGTTCACAATAACGTTCATCAGGGAGTAATGCAGTACGTTCAGTTCACGTTCGCCCAAAATATGAACGAGTTCATGAACTTTCGTTCAATGAACGGGTTCAGGCACAACACTGCCTGTCAGATCTACCTCCCCCGAGGCTTCCGTCCTGCTCCTTCCTCAGGCTCACCAACTTGGCCTTCAGAACCCCTGGCTCAAACCTGTCCACCCTCATCTCCAAACAACCTGAAAGACCAGTGTCTCCAATCTCAAACCCCAACATCCACTTCCAACCAGCTAAGAACGTGCTTCATGACTGCCATCCCTATTCTTTTTTTAACCTTTTAACTTTCACTGCAACTTAGGATACAAGTTTAAACAAGGAACCATTTTAAAGGGCATGTTTTTGCCTGTCCCATTTTGCAGAGTGGTTATGCATCTGTGTTTACATGTTGCATTTTCCTTGATATAGTTTTTCATATTTCAGGGGCATGTTAAGAGATAAAACACGAATTTAAAGTTAATTCACTTTAAAAAAAACTACAATATAACCTATAGTTGCATTTATTTCACAGGAATTGGTGGGGTAAAGGAAAGCTCTGTGATATATAGGTGATTCTTGAAAAAGAGGTATTAATTTTAAGACAAAAAAAAAACTAAATGTCCACCTGAAAGCCAGCCAGGGTGATTTTCACCGAAACGTCCAGGGGAGTGTTGACGACCCCAGCCACAGATTTGACCAGCGACATGAAGAGAAGCGGGAACCAGACGATACAGATGAGCAGCACCACAATCATTCCACCCATCCCGTATTTCACCACTTTCTTCTTCTTCTGGCCTCGAGGCTGAGGGTATCTCTGCAGAGGGATTATATGAAAACCACACCTTTTATCGAGTGTTTTTGTATCTGCTATGTGTTTTCTGTGTTAACTATAAACCCCTAAAATAGCAAAAAAAAAAGAAAAGAAAAGAAAAGAAGTAAAATAAAATATTTGCTTTTATTTTCTGTCAAATTTCTGATTGAAAATTGAGTGGAAGGAAAAACTTTGTTCCAATAGGGAACAAACAAAAGGGATGGCCACACCTTCTCAGATTCTCTCCAACATTTGAGGATGAAAATGTGAGCATATATGTCCTCAACACAGATCCAGCTGGACAAGGACAGCGAGGTGTCGGTCCAAACCCAGTCCATCACTGCTCGCAGCTCCGTCAGGAAAGGTACCAGGCGGAAACTGAAACACAAGCCACAATTTAATGAGGTTTAATGAGGTGACCTAAAAAATATCTCTTAACAAATCTTAATAAGGAATGTATTTCAGTTGCTGGAGGAAAGGCTGATAAATTCAGCAACATCCTCAGGCTAGAAACAAATCATCTGTTATTGGGAAACACATCTATTGACCCATAAAACGTTTAAGCCAAGAGGGAAAATCTGATGTTGGAATTAAAGGTAAATACTGGATTGGACCTGATGGCCCAGATCTCAGAAACAAAGCTCACCCTTGAAACAAGAAGAGGTTGACATAGTTGTAGCTCTTGGTGAGGAAGTTTCCCAGAACACGGGTGGGATACCCGCAGCGGATCTGATAGGCTGACAGCCCAAAGTAGATACACTTGACGAAATACCACATCTGAGCCACCGTGTTCTCGCTGAAACGTCTGAGAGAAGAATAGCCAGAACACAGGTTGTCAGAATATTTCTTTTAATCATTTTTCCATGGTGAAAGAATTATACAACAAAAAATTTTACATAAAAAAACTAAAACATTTAGTTTAGTTAGATTTCTTCCACAACACATGATAAAAAGTATCAACATGGGGTCAAATGTTGCATTCTTTTTTCTGGTGGTCTATCAGTTAAAATCTGTACACTCAGGTTAGCTGTAACTAAACATTTGAAAAGTTCTAGGGGTGTAAATACTTTCTAAAGGCTCTGCCTTTCATTGCAAATTAAACAACTCACTTTTCAGTGACGCCTGGCAGGATGAAGAACATCCAGAAGTGGATCCCAAAGACCAAGATGACCTGGAAGATGACCTTCCCCATCACAGTCTTCCTGAGGTAGAGGGCCCGGTCCACCACCATGGTGCCGAACTGGATCAGAACCATGACCAAGAAGGGTCCGGGAACCTGATCCTCTGATAGAGACGAAGTAATGTCCGCACTCGAATGTTTCTAGGAATTAAGAAAAGAAGAACTTTGATGATTAATTCGGCCTTTTGGTAATATTTGCAGGACTCAGATTTTCCTTTACCTCCTGGACGATTTTTGTATTTCTTAAATAGCTGAACCTGGGAAAACTTCAATTTTATTGCTGCGGTGTGCAGGAGTAAAGTATCCCTCTTTAAACCAAATTTCCTGTAAACCAACTTTCAAACAAAAGCCACAAGTGGCAAAATCTTCAAACAAATCAAAATCTTCCACAAATGTCGTAGTTTTTATATTTTCAGTGTTTAAGTTGTTCAATAATCTCTTTAAATAGACCATGTAACCGAGACCTGACTGATCCCAGCAAAAGGTATGTCTCCACCACAATCACTTAGATGACTTGGGGTGAAAAACCTGAATTATTATCTAACAATCATTTTTAGAGTGGATTAAAAAATTGACATTTGAAGCTCAGCATGGCCATCCATGTACTAATGTCATCAATAGAGGTAAGAATAATTTGTGCAAAGGACAAATAGGGAGCAACTGATAAACTTATTTTTGTTGCTAAAATCCACATCTTAATTATCATGCATTTTAAAGGAGATTTAAGAAAAAAAGTAAATTCCATGGTGGTCATTAGAGAACTTAGGCTACGTTCACACTGCAGCCTGAAGTGACCCAAATCTGATTTTTTTTTTGCCCGTATGCGACCTGGATCTGATCTTTTCATGACAGTCTGAACAACACAGATTCGATTTTTTCCAATGCGATCCAGGCCACTTGGCTATGTGTCTGAACGGCCAGGTTGTATTCATCTGAGCTGAACGTCATTAATACCCGACAAAGGTCACTATTATGCATCTTGCTACGCAGAAGCGGCAAGAAAAACGAAAACCATGGTGGAAGATGATGCAAAGAGCAGTATTTATGTTTAACCATATTAAAAAGATTGTGTTTTTATGGTTGGAAAAGACCGCTAGATGTGTGCTGGAACTCCCATCCATGTTTACTTCTGGAAAAAAAGAGCACGCTGGCCTGTGACGTTATTGCATCCTCTAGTGCACATGCGGGACACTTACATTGTATGACTGCAGTTCACACAGGAGATCACATACAAGTCGCATATATTTGAAATGTGAACGGCAACGCAAAAAAAAATCGGAATTGAGCATCAAGGCCTGCAGTGTGAATGTAGCCATAGATTGGAGCCCAGGGAAGCAAACAGGAGGACAAAATTACAGCAGGACAGAGACTTACTCCAAATGCCCAGAACCCAAACACAATGATGATGAAGTCTACAGTGTCAGCGAGGAACATCAACACATAGACGTCTGTGACGGCGCTGTACTCTGGGTGGATCAGGTTGTAGAAGAACTGCTTAATAGGTAGGTAGATCTCCAAAAACCTGCAGGGAGCGGGACAGATGTTATTAATCGAGAGACAACGCTTACGAAATCCTTCCGTCAACATCCTGTTTTTCTCTGAGTTTGTCAGGGTTGAGGGCTGAGGTCATTTTTTTAATCAGAGAAAGCATCATTAGTGAGAGAACCGTGTCAGGAACGATCAGGGTTAACTCACTATTCTAGGCATAAGGTCTCAGAAACCACTCACTCCATCATGATTACATTTAGCAGAATAACAAGCTTTGATCGGCTGCCGCAGCACTTACAAAAGTGCCACTGAACAGCCTGACGGGAATGCTGTAATTAAAGGTCTAAATTTAGACCCGTAAAAGGTTTTAGCAGGATAAGATGTGTCTCTGTCATCATTTAGCAACAATATTCTGATCCATGCTCTCAAACTGTGACAGAGTCAGGGGAGAAATTAAAAAAGGGTGGGTCAGCTTCAGTGTCCGTGCAGGTTTATTCTACCGCTTTATGATGAAAGCCTTGGCTTTAAAGAGCTGCTCCCTCAGCTTCTCCATGATCATCTGTTTGCGGGTCTTCTGGTGGACACTGGCCTGACTGCCGTCCTTGTGGCTGCTGTTGCGGGAAGCCGTACTTCCTGTGGGAAGAATTTACATTTTGAGCTGTTAATGATCCGCGAGGAGACACTTAGACATGATTTGGTGCTGAGACTCACAAACAAGGTGCTACCTTCTGCCTGAAAACTAAAGGGAGTCCATTTTCTGTTGTTTTGCAAAGCCATGATTTTTACACATACACAAAAGGCTTTTAATGATAATCAAACTTGGAGAAAAAAAAGACAAGGTAACATAAATCACCTCTCTTCGATCTTGCAGAAGAAACTCGAGATCGATAGGAAACATGTGAGCCTCCACTGGAGCTTTTTCTCCTCTGGTAGGTCTGAGGCTGTGGGTAATGCACCTGGACCTGCTCTGAATCAATGGAGGTCCCAAAGGTCATGGACCTTAAGGTGTGATTGGAGCCTCTCCTGGTGTTGATCAGCGATGAGGCCGGCTCAGACTCCTTCTCGCTTTCCTCCTTCTCTCTCCCCTCATCCTCAGATTCGCTCTGGCTCTGACGAGCCGCCTCCTTCTTCTCTTTGGGCTGGTCTTCATCCCACAGACCATGACACTGAGGAGAAGAATAAACAAATGAAGCAATAAAGAAAATGGCATCCAGTTGCAGAAATAAATTGCCAATTTTTAACATTTTAAATATTGGTGCGTGAACTATACAGAACTGAAAGGTTTACAAGAAGATTGAAATTAGTCAAAAAGCATCAGGCGTTTCCAGCTTCAGTTTTTTCATAGCTGCACTACTGTTTTGCCTTTAATTCAAATTACTACAAAGGTGAAGTCATCCAGCTGAAATCACTCTAACTAGGAGAGTGGTTGCTATTAAACTAAGAGATACTTGGCACTTGTTTTCTCAAAAGAAATGACAAACTACTGCTTGGAAAACATTTCTGGGAAGAAACACTTTCTAGATCAAGGATTCAAAGTAAGATTCTGCATTTAATTCTACATAATTTCCACCGATCTTTAGCCATGACTACACCTCTTTTTTCACAGTCCTCCTCTTTTCTTTTCCTAATAAATCTAAACCTCATCCATCTGTTTTCTTTACACAACAGGACAACAAAGACAAACAGGACAAGCAACCCCCAAAGAGACCAAATAACCGAGAAGTCATGTATTTTGAAGCAGAGCGGAAATACACAAAGAGAATCCTGCTGCTGCTTGTCTTCTTCACACCTTAATGGCCTGTGGTCTGTACTTTTATAGTGCTTTTTCCAAGTCAGAGGACTTGACCAAAGCGCTTTGCACTACAATCAGTCATTCAGCCATCCATGCACACAGTCACACACTGATGGTGGCAGTATACATTGTAGCCCTGGGCTCACTGAGAGAGTCAGGCTGGCATATACTAGTGCCACCAGTCCCTCCAACCACCATTATTAGGCAATGCAAGTAAAGTGTCTTGCCCAAGGACACAATGAACAGTCCCATGGCTTGACACTGAAACCAGAGCCAGGGCTTGAACTGACAACCCTCTGTTTGTAGGGCAAACTCCTTCAGCTGACGCCACCTTCGCCACTTAAGACCCCAGGAAGCAAGGGCCTTCTTTCTGCAAGGTAACAGCACTACTATAGCTGCTCCACCATTAGGGCCAGATCTAAACATCTTTAATCAAAAAAACAATTAGATTTTCTGCTCTTGCAGTTCTGAGTGTTAGTGAGCTTAGTGTGAGGTGCATAGTTATGGGACTGCTTTTTTAAATGCTTGTACCTTTAGGATGGACCTATGGAAGAACAGAGCCAGCAACTGGACCAGATCATAGTGGACGTATCCATCTTTTTTCTCTACACCAATGATGTTGGGAGGGTGATATGGTTTATTCCTGTCTAGCTTGTTCTGGTTGAAGGGGAAAAAGCCAAACTGGAAGAAGTACTTGATGACGATGGTAACCTGGAAGGGAAACAGATGAGTGCATTCAGTCTTCTTGAAATGATCGAGAAATTTAATAAAAAGAAAGCATAACTGAATATTCTGCAGCCGTTTCATCTTCACTTTTACCTCTGTGTAGATGATGGCCGTCATCCAGTAGCGCTTACTGGGCCGCGGCACCGACAGCATGGCCCAGAGGAAGATGGTAATGGGAAGGACCAGGGTGACGAAGGAGGCTGACACCATGTGGTTGATGATGATGACCAAGTAGCAAACAAACTCTGAGTGGGCGACCAGCATGTTGTAGAGGGCGTAGCAGAACTGCAGGATCAGCGGCTGAGATTGGTAGAAATGGTCTGACTCTTCCAGCTCCTCATCATAGAACATCCTGAACACAGAGGGACAGGACTGAAAAAACTGGGAACTAGGGTCATCTTCAGTAAAAATAGGGCAAAAGAAGAAAAGCTAAGAAGGTGTGAACACATTTTGCATGGTAATAGAACCCAAGAATTATCAGTCCCCTACTTTGATTCAATGTTACTTTATAAGACAACCTAAAACCTGCTTAACCATCTGGCTATCTACTATGTAACTTCATCTACATTTTGCTTGACTGTTCTATCATGAAACACAGTGGTGGCAGCATCATGGTTGACAGGATTACTCAGTAAACCTGGAAAAAATTTCAGGGTGATTGTGGTAGAAAACATGTTTGAAGGCTCTAAGTTGATGATGGAAGTTTAACCTTACAGCATCTAAGAGGCCCTGAATAAACAGCTAGTTTTATGTTATGAGAAAAATGAGCAAACATCTCACTCCCTGGATGTCAAAAACTGGAACAGGGAAGCACAGTGTAGATAGTATTGAGTTTTTAGCAGCTGGACTTACTTGTTGAGCAGCAGTTCGCTGGCAGTCAGCTCAGTGGTCATAGAGGGCAGCATGATGTCTGACCTGCTGTCTGAATGGCTGTCAGATGTCATGACCATGCGCCTCCTCCTGTAAGAATCACTTTCATCGTCGCTGACCTCCAGGCGGTCAAAGCTCACCGCCTTACTGTAGCTGGGAGGCACTTCAGCATCTGACGTTTTGGAGGCGTCTGTGTCGGGGGTGTAGAGCAAGACGGACTGACCTTCTGTCTGCATGAAGTCCTGCCGTCCTCCTCCGCCTTCGCTCCCGCTGATTGAGTCGTTCTCCTGAACAGAGGGACTGTATTCTGCTTCATCGTGCCTCATCGAGGGCCCTTCATCTGGGCTGAAGGCCTCGGAGGGAGCTCTTTCTCTTTCCTGGTCTTCTCGTACCTCCCATCCTCCAACCTCATCACCTTCCTGGTGCTCATCCTCGTCGTCTTCAAAACTTCTCCTGTCCTTTGGTTCCTCCTCACCGTCCTTTGGTTCCTCCGCTCCGTCCTTTGGTTCCTCCACTCCGTCCTTTGGTTCCTCTAAACTGTCCTTTGGTTCCTCCTCTCCACACTTTGGTTCCTCCTT